GAACCCCCCCCCCCCCCCCCCCCACGATCCCGATGCCGCTCCCCCCCCCTGGGAACATTACCGCCTGCGTGGTGGTGAACGAAGTGACGTGCTTCGTCCATCCGAAAGTGTGTGATCATCCTACAACTTGTGTGCGTGTCTTTATTTTTGTGTTGCTGCATGCCTCTTCGCCCCCCACGGCTATTCTTCCAAGGCCTTGAATGTGTGGGATCATCCTCCCTACAACATGTGTGCTTGCGTGTTTGCCCCCATCCCTCTTCGCCCCCGCCTGTTACCACAAGGTGCACGATGTGGACAACTACCGCGTGGTGCTGATCTTTAAGGACCCCGCCGAGGCGCTTGTCAGCCGCTACTTCTACAACCACTGCAAGAACCTCAGGGGGGCACGGTGCGGGTCGACCCCGGCAGACTTCCCGAGTCTAGAGAGGTACGCTTGTTTTTTGCCCGCGAATTCCTTCCTTGCGAAACGCGGGGATTGTGTCTAACCGTCCCTCCCCTTGGTGTTTTGTTTTTTGTTTTTTTGCATCCGCGAAGAAAAACCGCTGTTTGAATGTGGCCTCTCGTCCCCCAAAGAGAAAACCATGCTTCTCATCTCAACTAGTGCCAACAACAGGCACGATGTGGATTGTTGTCGCCTCGACTACTGTGGTGTATTACCCCCTCGCCGCCAACCCGAACACCCCCCCCCCCCCAACCCGAAGAAGTTTACTGATAAGTGGAGATTGTCTGCCAACGTTAAAAAAAATGCCGTCATTGTATGCAACGAGGGCAGGGAGGAACCAGTAGAATACAGATGGGAGTGGGGGATCGAGGAGATTGCAGTAGTGGACCAGTACACATACCTCGGAGTAGAGATCGCAAAAGACTGCTCGTGGAATGCACCTATGTCCAAGGTAGCGGAGAAGGGCAAAGCACGAGCAGGGAAGCTGCACCCAATACTCGCAAACCGGCGCCTCGATACAGGCATCAAACTGACGGTTTTGAAGAGCGTTATCGTACCGCCGCTAGAGTGCGCCGGAGAAGTATGGGAAGGAAATAAGAAGGTAGTGAAAGAACTCGAGGCGGTGCAGATGAAAACAACGAAAACCATCCTAGGATGCTCCAAGCGCACAAGTAATGCAGCCGTCAGGGCAGAATTGGGGATCCAATCCCTACGGTCGGGAAGAGACGCAAGGAAGCTGACATGGCAGTATCGCATGTTCGGGATGGGAGAGGAGAGGTTGCCGAGAATAGTATCGGAGGCGAAGTGGGCAAAAAACAAAGAGGGGTAGACAACCCACGGAATGGGTCAAGGTTGTAGAGGACGTATGGAAGGGGTTAGACATCGACGAAGATGAAACGCTGGAAACGGAGGGTCTACAGGGGTTCAAGGAGAAGATATCTGTTGCTTGTGCCGAGAGAGAAGAACAGAATCTAAGGAAAGAAACCGAGGATAACGAGGGTCTAGAAGTGTACGGAAGGTTGAAAGAAGGAATAGGGTTCAAGGATTACCTACATGGACCAATGGAGGCAGGGACAAAGCTTAAGGTCAAATTCAGGACCGGGGACATAGGCCTTCGAGAACGTCGACGAAGACATACGACGGCAGACGACGAAGACGACAAGTTCAAATGTGATTGCGGCTTCGAATGCGAAGACCGTGTTCATGTAGTCGCGGAATGTTGGCTGTACGAAGAGGAGAGGGAAGTGCACACGACTGAGCTGGGAAAAATACAAGGGAGGTACAGGGAGACGTTTGAGGCATGGAATAGAGAGGAGAGGACGGTAGCTGTACTGGGGAGTAGGAAGTGGTTTGAAAAGGCGGGAAGGGATATCGTTAGGATAGACAGACTAGGGAAGACATTTTTGAGTCACCTTTGGCAAAGTAGGAAGGAACGATTGGCCATCGGTGATGGTTCCTGTGGGAACAATGCTCCGTCCTCTCGAGGAC